TTTTTTTTTTTTTTTTTTTTTTAGTAAAATGCTTTGTGTTATACTTAAAAAGACAAATAAATGTAAATTAAATAAAAACGAAACGATGGCCTCATATATATTCTATTGAATAGCCTCGGCTTCTAGTAATAATTTTGGTTAAATCTCTACATGTACTTGCAAGTGAGGCTTTGTTTTTGTTTTTGACATATTTATTGAATACGCAAACAAAAGCATATCATACGGGGAGAGAATCAGTTAAATTAAAAATAAATAAGAAAAATTAAACTACTGTTATAACACGTTAAAGTAAAGTGTTTAGTTTGGGGAGTTTTTCCTTTCAATAGTTTGAGAAAATATTTGACTGGCTATTACACAGCGCCTTTTTTCCAAGTCTATTACAAAGTCACCAATTGAATTCAGTGTGGACAAAACGGGTTTTAAAATAGCTTGGAGAGACATTACAGCAGCAATTTATAGTGTAAAATTAGTTTTGCTTTGTCCCGTGTCAGGACGGCACTACAGTGTGTCTACTCTCTGGCCACAGGTTGGTGCTGCATCCCACACTGAGCAACCAGCTAGATGTTTTCAGTTTTTCCTTTTTAGGAGAGACGCTTAGACTGATAACATTACAGTGAAGATATTTTGGTAGCAATAAAAAGTAAAGTTAAGAGTCACGTGAGCCAACGAAACTGAATTTTCCCTACAGTCATCTTTAAAATAAGACGTCTGTACTGAGAAAAAGATGTCTTGACGTATGCTCAATCATCCAGGTAAGTAAATCCCAAAAGGTAGATTCTGTTCATCTCGACGTAGCGTTTTCAATGGGAGAAACGTTTCATCACTCATCCAAGTGACTTATTCAGTTTCAGCTGACTGCAGGTTTCCCCAACCTTATAAACAGTACATGTTTGCACAATAACTGAAATCAGCCCACCGAATGAACAATGGACTGTGAGGTCGGTCATTTCTTTGATCATTAATATGCAAATTGTCATGACCATTGATCAACAACCACTGATCAAGGCCCATCGATCAAAGATCATGAGTACCATTCACAGAGAGTTGGGGAATGGCTGCAATCACAGCATTGTAAGATGGCAAAAGATGTAACCTTAGGTCCCCTCCTTGATTCAGAGATAGTCTTTCCCTTTTCACTTAAATGGCCTCCTTGACTCCCCATCCAGGATGTGCACATCCTCATCATTGAAAGAGTGCCCATTGGCCTGTAGGTGTAAATAGACTGCAGAGTCTGGCCCTGACAAGTTAGCTCTTCTGTGTTGTGCCATCCACTTCGACAGAGGTTGTTTGGTTTCCCCGATGTATTTATCATTGCAATCCTACACCACAGTTTAATACCAAAAATGTAATCTGAACTTTCAAGCATTGCAATTACTTCACTGACTCGACAACTTCTTTCTTGTCAGGCAGACCAAGTCATGGGATATCCTCAGTTAAAAACAAAACCCTGTGTGTTGCATACTTGTCACAAGCATTTATACCATCTCATGGTGGTGCATAAACATTGATGAGACAACCTGTAAGTAGACAAAGCCCATGTGTGTGTGTGTGTGGAGAAGTAGCCCAGATGTGAAAAAGATTTACTGCTCCCTGAGGGATTTCGCTCCCCCCCCCTCACTAATCTGTTATCGTTTCATTTTCAGATGAGTACAGAGAAACTGTCCCAGTTCAGAACCAGTTGTTAGAAAGTTTAGTTAGCAGGTGCCAATGAATGCCAATACACTGAACGGGACTTGCACTTAACAGCATACACTATATTACTCGGTGTTGGGAGACATGCGCAGTGTGTTTTTTGGGTTAAAACAATTTCTACTGAGAAAGATGCCTGCCACTACATTAGTGTTATCTTTGGAGACAACCTCTTTGGAGCAATAACATAAGTAAAATGAGATTTACCCTACAGCAAGAAACTCAAGGCTGAAGCACAGGTATGCAACACAACTTTATTGAAACTCTTGAAGCAACATCCATTTACAAACAAGGAAATGGGAGCTTGTTGAACGTAAATGCCTTTTTGGAGCCAAAATTACAGAAAAGAACAGGGAAAAAAAAACCAAAACAAAACAAAAAAACAACAACTCCCAGGGATTGGACCAGTGGCAGGTGTATTTTTAAATACAAAAAAAAAAAAAAAAAAAGAAAAAGAAAAAAAAACATAACTTATGAAATCGTTCAAGTTTACAGGAAGATTGAGACACAGGGCATATGTAAATCATTGATTTACAGTTTAGCTTGCGTTTGAAACTTTAAATGACTTCCAAATATCAAAGCAGGCATTACTTTGATTTAAGAGATGGACGAGAGGGGAAGAAGAAAAAACAAAAACAATGGGCGTGAGTGAGATGGGGCAAATGCATTCTCGAATTCTGGATTTTCAGTGTGGTGCAAGTTAATCAGTCACAGTCATTATGAAAAGGCCTTTTCAGGATCGCATTGCTTGAGTGCTGCCTCTTGACACTCCTCTGGGTCCCTGACCAGCTCCACGTTTGTAGTTCTGCTGGTAACCGTCCTAACAAAGAAAAACAAAAAGGAAAGGGATGTTTTAAAAATTGTAACAACAAAACAGCAACAAAGAACATGTACAGTTTGAACACTTCTTTCATACCCTCTGATAATTCCCATTTGAGTAATCCCGAGGTGTGCTGTACTGAGTTTGTCCATATCCCGAGTTTGGAGTGTTGGCGAAAGGAGCACGATAACCATCGTAGCCACCTGGAAACACAAAGACACAAATTAGAATTCATGCATGAGAAACTCATGCTACCAAATACACAAATGTGTAATAAAAGAGAACGAAAATAAAATTAAATAAAAAAATTAACAAATAAATTACATATTCAGTCTTGTTTCAAAGTGAAACCACTAACTTACAGCTGAGGGTGTTATCATACCTCGGAAACCATTTGATGAGCCTCTGTATCCATTGATCATGCCCCGGGCGTTGCGAGGTCCACCACGAGACATGCCTCTGCTGTTATAGAAGGACTGAGCCTGCCTGCCAAAGCCTGGACCCTGCTGGGAAGGCTGTTGATGGCCTCCTGGTTGGTCTTGGGAATGGAAGGCACCAACTACTAAAAAATAAACCAAGATAGCAAGGGGTCCAAAACACAATAACTCAGTCTGTAGTTGAACAAGAACATGCATTTAAATAAAGTTTAACTGCAGTGAAGCCTCTAGGAAGAACAAAAAAAACAAAAACAAAAAACAAACAAAAAGACAGAAAAACTCAAGTTGCAAAAATTAAATTTAAAGTCTGCCCACCAGATTGCAGTTGTTCTGGCTGCATCTCCGTCTGCTCCACTGGATGCTGTGGCTGGCTGCTAAAGGCCTGGTTATTGTAGCTCTGATACTGGCTGGCCTGGTTCAAAGCCTCAGCCTCATTAGCTGGTGGGACTGGAGCATTAAGGTTGAACACCTGAGGGATGAACAAAAGCCCACATTGTTATGAAGCCAAAATCAGAGGAAAGGTCACATGGTTATTAGGAGTAAAGTCCACTGCCACCTATTTCCTGATTCCAACTGTTCTGCTATAAACTTATTTTAAACGCAATGTGATAAGGTCACTTCAGGACTCCAAAAAAAAAAAAAAGTCAGTCATTAATGAACTTCTGTTGTGACTCCAGTGGTGAAGAGCACTATGTGCTCCAAACAGCTGGTTTATCCACATGATGCGCTTGATGCTCCAGATTTCAGTAAAATTTTGCTTTAATCACACTCCAAGCATGGAAGGGGAACAGCTGCACGATGCATGAGAACTGTGAATGCTACAACACCACAACTGAGGGTATCCAACCACGTTCCACACATGCATGCTAAAAAGCAGCTTGTTTGTTGTATTTGGCTGAACAGCATGAAAAGTTGACAAGTGTGTGAATGCTTAACAAAATTAGAGGACCAAAGATATGGAAAACAGTGCATGTGTGGAATACATGAAACAAAACAGAACCCCGCATGGAGTAAACCCTGAAATTGCCATAAAGAACAACATGGTTTTAACACAGGCTATTTTATGACATGAGAAGCAGTTCGTATTTATACCTCCAAAAACAAACAATCAAAAGGAAGCAAAGCCTTACTGTCTGCATGGACTGGAATGGTGCTGCGTTGACATTGATGCCACCGCTGTGAGGAGCTTTGGAAACAGGCTGGAACACTGGCGTCTGTGAGGCTGGAGGGAGAACTGTAGAGGGTGGAGGCTGCTCCGACAAAGACATGGAGGGCTGTTGAGGAGGGAAGGCATAATACACATCACATTAAAAACGGTCAGCAAAATTTCACATGACTGCAATGAGCACTTCCCCACCTTTCAATGGAAAGACTACTCCATATATATAAAGAGTTTAAAAATTAAAGCTTTACTGAAGTCCCACCACAGTTTACCTGGATGGGGTCAATGGATTCTGCTGAGGGTCGAGGATCTGGTGTGTGTGAGGTCTGATACATAGGTGGTGGTGTTGGAGATATGATTGGAACCTGTAAACAGTAGGAGTAGAAATTACACCCATTCTCCATACAATTTCTTACAGCATGTTTGCTTATATTTAAATACTTACTTGTGTGGGCTCAGGTTGAACAGGAACAGAGTTGGGTTGTGATAACCGGGTCTCAGGATGAACTAAGACAATTTAAACATTGTCAGACCTGTCATAACTTAAAACAAATAAAATAAAGACTATGTTTCTCTTTGGTACAACATACCTGGAGGACACCCCATCTGTGGCACCTCCATGTTTTGGGCAGGT